CAACAATAACAATTCCTCTCCTCTCTTCTCCTCTCCTTTCCTTTCCTTTCCTTTCCTTTCCTTTCCTTCTCTTTCCTGATGTAGCTTCTACCTCAGATCCCATTTTGCTGATTTATATGAGACACCCACACACCCGTCTCCACCCCCACATCCTTCCACAGACCCTAACAGTCATGTGACTCTTTTGCTTTGCCTGGGGGGTAAAAAGTGGGACACAAAATATGATTCAGTCCCCGGATGATACCTAAGAGTAGAGCATTATGGTGGAGATAATATGGCAATTGGGTTTAGCATATAGAGGTCAATGGCAGGTTAATGCAAAATGTAATACGTGATTGACTAGGAAACCTGGTGGGGGAGGGGCCTTGGGGTCAGGGGGCGGCGTCGAGACTTGTTTTGGGTCAGTCTGGAAACAATATGAGCACGAGGAAGAGAATTATGTCCATTTATCATGTTTGTCATATGACTTTGGCCTGAAAGGCTTTGGTTATATCTGCAAAGGAATCTAGTGCAATTGCATCCAAAACACTGTATCCTGTTTTATAAAGGGAATCAAGTTTTAAACATTTATTTAATATCTGTAAAATAACAATATCTCATCTCCTCAAAAGAGTAATTGTGCTTTAATGTTTGCTGTTAGGTCTTAAAGACGTGTGAGGGGTAGATAGGGAATTTTACAGAGTGTCAGCCATATTTTTCCTTTCTGTGGTTCCTTTATGCAAGCATATCAATTTGTTATATTGTACATGATAGAAAAGCTACTGGGAGGCCATAGAAATGTGCAGATTACCTCATTTTTAACTCTTAAAGATCCCTCACAACTCCAGCCCTATAACAGTCCCTGCTAATGTTCACTTACAGTCACACTGGGCCATCTTTTCTCCACTTCATTCACGTGTTCAACATTCACAACCGCCACTGAAACTGATAGCATCTACATCATTTCAAGGACATACAATAACAGCCACTATGGCCGAGCCTTGGTACATGAATACATAGAGGAAAGGTTTCCAGCAACATTGCTCCATGATTGAATTCCCAAGGACAAGAGGAAGAAAAAAATGCAAAACATTGGGGGCTTGGAAAGAGAAGGTGAGGGAGCAGGAACAAGGTGTTTCTACAGTTTGGAGCGGTGAGAATGAAACATAAAAATACCAAATGACAAAAACACTGCAGCCTTGTTTATGTGCACATGAGTTCTGAGCATACATGTACATGCAAACACAGGCAACACACACCCATTGTAAGTGTCAGATATGTCAGTGTATGAAAGTAAATGAGGAAAAACAATATATCTCAGATGTTGAAAAGCCCAGAGCTACTGAGCCCGCTATAAGAATTGTGGGTGGACATGTAAATTGCATGGCCTTTCTGTTCCTTTGGGTAAAATTACTCCTCACTGCTCATCGCCCCCTGTATAATAACCTCCTGGATTCTGTCTGCTTAAGGGTTTGGGGGATACCTGTCAATCAAATCAAACCCAACAGAATACATTTGCATAGTTAGACTGCGCTGCAACATCTGAGAGACCCTGACAGACAAGAAATGTATTTGACATCATCAGATTTCACTATATTGATCAAATTCCACATATATAATTTGTTCAGTTATAATAATGCTTTGTTATAAAACTTATTTTACATGAATACCTAATACTAAAGAAACCCATGGGCTGCTGAGATCTGTAAGGGAAGACCCCCACCTAGAGGTTGTGAGTGACACTGCACCCCAAGCAGATATGTTCTCATACTGACCTACAGTGTGCAGACATTATTTTTGAAGTACATGGTTACAGCTGGCATGAAGGAACAACCACACTGACGGTCACATACAAAAAACATTTATATATATTTTGAGTTCAGAACAAACCACATGATTACTGTGTGGGCCTCACTTATTCTTCCTCCCATCGACTCAGAGCTTCTCTCTCCAGAATCCTCCTTCACTATGTGTCTCACTGCAGCCTGTTCATCTGAATGATCACTTCAGATTATAACAATATAATATGTATATATATATATATACATGTATACACTGATTGAGACCAAACAAATAAAAACATTAATGCAATGTTTATTATAGATTAAAATTGCATTCAGTTTGGAAATAATGAAATAATAAGGTCAGCTATTTTGCTTGAATCTGTGTTATAGATAACATGTACAAGGGTTTATAACACACTATAATGTGGTTTTAAGCAAGTATAAGTGTTTGTTAACATGTGTAGGCTGATGTATCTAGACAGATAATCACAATATAGTGAGACAGTGTTGTTGATACACAAAATGGGACAAGTCATGTTTAATTTAAAATATTGTACAATAATGAGCACTTAGAATGTTTTTAAAGTGACTTATAACTTCATTATAGTGATTTACTTTTGTGAAATATCTGAATACTTTCATTAATAATAAACTTTTATATTCTTTTACATGGGGCAATTGGAAGTAGGATGGCACCTAGTAGAGTACAAACCTCTGCCAAGTTCAAGCATGCTGCATCAAATTTCACACAGTCATTGATATATGTAAATGAAATATTCAATGTAAAAGAAAGTGAAAAGAAATCCAGGATACACCCCCTGATACGGATCCACACCCAAATTGAATGGGATCTTTCCTGACCCATAAAGTATCCTACCACCATGTTTTGTGCAGATCCATTCTTTTGTTTCTATGTAATCTTGCCTTCAAATAAACAAACCCACCAACAAACGAATGTATAAGGGGTGAAAACATAACCTCCTGGGTGGGGCTGAAGAGAATCAGATATAGAGTTTCTGTTGTCATTAATCAGAATAAACTGCAGACCTCATTGTAAACAGTTTTCAATGGAAGTACTTTTTTCCTGAAGACATAGCTGTTATGAAAACTGAGCGACCTGTTCTTGAATTGTTTTGAGCTGGTCCACTGTTACACAGCACTGCAGACTGGCACCACCTTATCAGTATCGAGGGAGTGAATCAGATACACAGTCCAGTCTCAACAGAGGGAGCCTGGCCACACTGAAATCTAATACATGCAAACCTGCACGCTGTCTCATGCAGAAGCCAAATGTAATTGTGCCGACTATCTCATTAATGTGCCCATATCCCTGCGATCACGTCTCGTGGATGCAGTGTTGTTGTCTGCTCAGGTTCATAAGGACGGACGTCAGGTTTTTATCTACAGAGAGAGAAAGGAAAAGACAGAGAGGCAACAAACGGACATATAACTTCTTATCAGAGTCGGACACAGACAGGGAGTGAAAACATATTTGAGTGCAGACACCAGCAGCACATCATGTTGCTTTATAGTCAAAGGAGTAGTGTTTAAGACTGTCCTGTAAATATATATATATATATATATATATATATATAAATACATTTATCATATAAACACCACACGTGCACAAAGACTAATGAAATATATCCATGATAAGACCTGATCAATTACAGATGTTGTAGAATTATACTTTACTGATGACTGTCATAATCATTTAGAGCATTTAAATTAGAATTTAACTTTTGTATTTTCATGTGTAACATTTTAGTTGCTGCTGCATGTCCCCTTGCCTATTGGAGTTAATTGGTTCCTCGCTGCCATTGTTTCATGCAGGGCTGGTATGAGTCTAAGATGGTGGAGAGAGTCCGTTTATCTTTTACTGTGTTGGTGTTAGTTAAATGAAGACAGGAGACAAATAAACGCCATATTTTTTAGAGAGGTTGTAGTCTGCTTATTACCCACAGTCCAGAAGAGACACGCTGTGTGTGTGTTGCACAAACATGAAAAACAAAAACATTACTTGATAACTACCTTTGAAATATTGTACATTTTATTTTATTTTGTAATTATAATCTTATTTGTCTGTCTTATCTGGGCACCACAGAAGCAACAATGGAAAACTGTGTGAAACATCCCTGGCTCACTTCACTCTGAGGCCCAAACAACCCACATACTGGTTATTTATGAGACTTTCAAATTGACCCTGACTCTTAAAAAGCCACAGTAACATTGGATTCTATTTACTAATAACTTATGACTCATATACAGCCACTGTGTAAAAGCTCTCATTCAAACCTATACCACCTTACACATGACATCCATAATATTTGATTTAATGACATGAAAGTACAGATAATATCAGTCTTATTGAAGTGGTTGATGACACAGTTACCTGGTTGATTGACTGCAGCCAAAAACAAATGATTAATGCACAGTATGGAAAAGAGCGGTTCTGTTGTGCCACCTAAACCTAAACCACCCCTCATGGCACAGCTTACATGTAAGACCGGAAAAGGCCAACAGATGGTGACGCAGGGAGAGATTTTAATAACATAAAAAATAATAACAAACCATTTTTACAAATGAAAGCAAAGTAGCACAACATAAAATGAAATGGGAGAAAAGTTTGCTCTGATGGATGTTATTTTTTTTTCAGTTTCAAGATGTACTGATGTACTGCAAATTATTAGTATTGTTGAACATATTCCATAAAAATGTATTTCGATCAAATTGTTGTATGTATCATGTATATTGTATGTCTGTATGAAACTTGTAATGAGTAAAACAACATAAATGAAGCGGCTGCTAATTTTGTGCAAATATGTTCATTGTAGCAGCAGAAATTTAAGATATGTGAAGAATATTAATAACGACACAGAATTAAGGTCTAGAAAATGATCCAGATGTAATTTATCATTCATAATAAGGTAGAATGTGTTCACAAACATTGACATCCTTTTTACGTGATCTCTGAAAAGTGTCCTCAAGCCTTAAATTGTATTTTATTTTATTTATGTTATAGTTGTGTTGCATTCAGTCAACCAGAGTTTCACTTTTCTGTAACTAAATTTTGAGTTTCAGTACAAGAAAACTCTAAATAGCTCCTTCTATTTGGGCTGCGAATAGAAGTTTCAACAGCACTGCACTGTGATGATGAACACAATGACTGAAAAATGAATAACCATCCCCTGCTGTCACATCATGAGGATGTAACTCAACAGGCACCAGGACCCAGCATCCTGCGACTGAGCTGCCCAGCCTGCAGGTTGTGTACTGGGTTATTAGTGCACACTCACACACACGGAAGTACATTCTTGTGTGCACCAAGTTGACAACATGGGGAAACACTGGCCTGCAGTTTGTGCATTGATTTTAGCTCTCGGTGCATATGTGCACTTTGACACAGCTTTTGCTGCAGAGACTGAATGCAAAACAACAGGTAAGTTTGTTTCTGACTCGACTCTATATGTTTAAATGTGTTTTTAATGTGTGACCTAACAGTGTACTATGAAAAGTTCCCACACAGCTTCGTGTATGTTTCTACTGTTGATCTTGTTCTCCTTCTCTGCTTCATCACTTCAGCAGTTAACTGCTCATGACTGTCCCATCACACAAGGGCTGTGTGTGATGGAGACCGTCCTGCAGACCACAAATGCTGTGTCTGACTGTGGAGCCGTCTGTGTTCCTCAGTACGATCCACAAAGCTAAACTCCATTGTCAGTTGTTAAAACCTGCTCAGTGACTGAACTGTCATGGAAATCAAAGCTTGGAGAGTCCACAGAGCAGCAGAGTGTCCCTCCAAATCAAAAGCCATGATGTTCCAGACTGTTTGTATATTTTTCACTTCTTTTCCCCTCCAGCAAAGCCAGGAATTTGTCCTCGCAGGAACTGGGGCGCAGGGCTGTGTGCTGAGTTTTGCTCCAGTGACAGTGACTGCCCCAACAATGAGAAATGCTGCTCCAATGGATGTGGACATAAGTGCATTGCACCCTACAAAGGTTAGATATGAACAAAGTGGCAGGGAAATCCCAGGAAATAGGGCTTCGTGTGGCATTCGTGTGATCAGATGAATATGTTGACATTTGAACACAGTGACATAGTGTGTCTGTGTCTTTTGCCCTGTCAGTGAAGCCAGGTCGCTGCGCCTTACCCCAGGGAACCTCCATGTGTGCTGAGTACTGCTATCATGATGGTCAGTGTCCGGGAGAGCAGAAGTGCTGCAGAACAACGTGCGGCCACGCCTGCAGCGAGCCCTGCTGAGTGGACTGCCTCTGACTCAACTGCATGTGTGCACTTGTTTGGTTAATTTCATGCAACCACACAGAAAAATGCATAATGTTTCTACCTTTTTCATTGCTATTACTTTTTGGTCAAATATCTGAGCACCACTTTGAAGTGGTGTCATTCTTTGGGTTGGGAAAGTAATGTGCTTGACTCGGGTTTTTTTTACTGCACCCGTACTTGAAGTAAACACAAAATACCAGAAAGATTTTGTTAATACTTTCTTCATTAAGTAATCTAATCTACACTTGGAAAATCAAAGAATATAAATCTCATACATATAATTTCCTTTTCTTTACTAGAAAGTGATCAGTGGGTCTTTTGTGCCTCTTAAAGTCTTCAAGTGACCTGCAGACTATTTGTATATTAACTTGATCAGTTTACAACTTCTTAATCGTTTATTAACGTCAATAATATTTTGGTAGATTTCTGTACGGTTGGAATCACTGTATATCTTCTGAATGGATAAAACAACAGTTATTTTGTATCTCTTCCTCGTGGAGTTATGAGACATATTTCTTTGTATTCCAGAAGATAAACATGTTCCCAGAACACAGAAAAGTGTCGTGCATTTATCACCTTGCTGTTTACAGGTCTCGTGTTTCACGTGTCTGTTTTATGGGTATTATTTTACACCAGAGCTTAGCTGCAATAACAAATGATGAAATATGCCGAGAACAAAAGGCTCTTACTGGCAGAAAACAAGAGGTGGCCAAGAACTTCTAGTGGCCAGTTCACACTGCTGTACCCTAATCTCCACACCTTAAATAGATGTTTGTATATACAGCCAAATTTCACTTTATACTTTATAAAGTGGGACTAAAGAAGCATACTTGTCTGAAATCATTTGTGCTAAATAAGGTGAAGGATATGTCAGAGAATCGTGAAGGCATGTGTTCCCCTCCTCAATTTCTACCGACTTGTTTGGAGAGAAAACATAGTTTGCAGCAGACCAGATATGAACATCACTTATGTGGAATGCTGCTTTTTTCCTTTGTTTTTGTTCCATGCCGTTGCCAAACGTGCTGGGGTGAGAAACGCTGACCGACCAAATACAGAGACGACAGTGTTTGTTCTCTCGGGGTCTGCCAGAAGTGGGGCTGAGTTTGTTTACACAAAAAATGTGGGCACTCAGTGGGAAGTAATGTGGCTCCGGTGCAGTTTGAAACATTAACGTACCTTCTCACACAGCTGGTCATTTGAATGAAAATGTCCCAAAATGTAGTTTGTCAGTTTATTAAAAGGTGATAAATGTGTGTGAGTTTTGACGCACACATACGCAAACAGTGTGGCTTCACACATTCAACGCACTTCAGACCTTTAGACACACAAACATGAGTTGTATGTCAAGCATTAATTGCTTGTCTACCACAAGATACAATTAAACTGCATTTTACTGATGAGGGAAAATGTTACAAACTTAAGGCAATTCATTTTATTGACCTGCAGACAATTGCATTTAACATTCCAGCATGCTTTCAAGAATTAGTGCAAATTAAATGGTTTAATAAAAGGGTTGTTCCTACTTGCAAGCAAATAAAGTGGTTGCTCAGCGACAACGTTTCAGGGGCCACGTGTTGTTTTATGATTAAAAGTATTACACAACTTGTGTCAAATAAAACGAACCCACCAGGAACCCAAAGTGAGGACTTTACTGCTGTGTTTAGTTTGCTTGGCAGTGGAAACTGGAAACAGAATTTCTGTCATTTGATCTCCTGTCATACCTGAGCTTTGACAAGATGTAACATTCTGACTGGATCAGTGTATTTTCTCTTTCCTTACAGCGAGATGGGAAACAAGAGGTCAGGATGGCAGAATGAGACCAACGGTGTTTTTTTCTATCTCTACTCAGAGATTTAAATAGTGCAGTCTCATCATTGTAGAAACATCTTTTTATCACAGTTTCCACACAGAAACAAAAAGCCTCAATGACACTGTGGAGATATTATGATGTAGTGGAGTTATGGTTTTCTGACATTCATAAAAACACAAACAATCAAACAGAACACACTGGTGCAGCGACCACTGCTGCATAATCCACAGCTTTGGTTCCTTCTCCTTGTCAAACAATAACAAACGTCCACAGCTTTTGTCGTTAGCCAACAGGAAATTCTCCTGAATATGTTCATGTTCAAAACTGTTATTCATCCTCTTCCATTCAAAAACAAAACCATGAAGTTGACCTTCAGTCAACATTCACACCAGTGCTCGACTCAGCTTTTCCCTGAATGTCACATGTAACCAGTGGTTTTGCCAAAAGCAAAGCTTCCTTTCGGAAAGCAGAGCCAGTTGGCACCAGCGTCCAGCCTCAGAGGGGCGGCACGCCCCGCATCTTGCGGATGATGTTGGCTATCCGCTTGGCCAATCCTGGGCTGGGCTCTTCTATCTGAAAGCTTCGAGTCAGTAGGTTGTATAGGGAACCGTAACCCACAGCCACCACAGTGCAGGTCAGGCAGATGACATTATAGGGCATGCTGAAGTCTGGGGTTGGCAGGTTGACCAGCAGGGGTTCAGTGTAGACACGCACAAAGTAGCTGGACTCCTCTTTACAGGGAAAACTGGAGGGAGATGGGAAAGTGAATCATTTGCATTTCTAGGAACAGGAACTCAAACACATGAATAAGAAGCGTCACAAGACATTTTCCTCAGAAAAGACACAAATGTACTTACAAGCTGCTAAAAAGGGGACGTTCCCGAGAGCTGTTTGTATCCATGGCGACAATACTTGGTACAAGAGAGCTGATTACTGAAGACCTGCATGTTTAAGAAAGAGATGTTTGCAATTACGAAGGTGAGAGAAAAATGAAAGCCTTGACAATGAATGCAACAAAACCATTTGCTTTTATGCTGCTCAAAATCATAGAGTGACATGAGTGACAGCACGTGAGTCTATTTCAGGAGCTTACCCGACGTAGAAGCCGTGGTTGGGATCGGGGGTGTATTCAGTCCATTTGAGCAGAGCCCTCTCAAACTGCACGGAGACCTCGGTGACGGAGTTGGGAGGAAGCTGGACAAGCATCTCCAGCAGGTGGGGCCTCACACGGTCCTTAGATGGCTGGTAGTGGATGTAGCCTGGTACAGGAAGAGAAAGGTGTAACCAGAGAACTGATTCACTGTTGTGGTATTCATCCACAATCCGTAAGTTACATGCACTGTACATGTGACTATAATGTGACAATAATTTAAAGGTAAAATTCCTGAAAACTAATCACCAAGTGGAAGAAATATCTCCTCCGTTAAAACATTTTTTACCAACACCAACCTGACAGCTTTTATTCCTTTGTATCAGAAAATGTAACTCATGCTCTCCCCCTTGTGGTGCAAAGAAGCAATGGCAAAGAACTACATGAAACAATGTTTTCTGAAGGGAAAGGGAACTGCACATACTGTTACACATGCCGGGTTTGTCACCAATTAAAAAGCATGTAGAGCACATTCCTCCACCAGCCCAACACTCTAAAATTCATAAATGAATTTGCATTTATTATTCCCCGCATTGTTAAAGAAAAGTAAAAAAAAATCCTTTCACTAAGTTTCATGGAAATCTGTTGAGTTGTTTTATGTCATCTTGATAAGAAATAAACGGACAGGGGTGAAAACATAACCTCTTTGGCTGAGGTCATAAGCTTGATTGTGTTTGGGATGTTTGAAAAGATATTTCTCATGATGAGTTTTATCAGAATATGTGGGATATGTATAATAAAACATCTTGTAACCACACAATCATCTGAAATGCTGATGTACATTATGTAGTTTCATGAATATACTTTGTTTGAGGTGTATTTGATTTTTTTAATAAACTTTCTTTAAGTGACTCACTGGGCTTGTTGTCCTTTCCCTTGCTGGTGACAGTGAGCGTGTGAATGTAGAGACGGAGATACCAGGGAACTGAATCCAGCAGCAGCACAGGGAAAGATCTGTACGGGTGATTGTTGTACATCAGTGTGTGAATCTCTCCTGTCTGCAGCCCGTAACCAGCCACATAGCGCTCGCCGTGGAGCAGAGGACGCAGCATGTCACCTAATGAGGAGAGCAAGTGACAAGGGGGTGATTTAATAGATGAAATTGTGGGAAACATCACAGCAGAGACAAGAAATATGATAATAAAAGTTTGACCAATGAACAGGGGACTTTATATAAACCATGTCACTGGAAACAAATACGGGAAATGTCACCATCTGCAGTTCTCACTCACCTTCACTGGATTTCCAACGGATCAGCAGGTTGAGGGAGCGCACGGTGCCAAAAGTGATTTGTTGGGTCAGATCGTACACGGAGAAGGTCCGTCTGTCCCCCAGCACCACTGCCTGGCTCAGCAAGGGAGTGGCCGGGCTCAGCTCAAACTGCTCCCCCTGCAGAATGACATCATGTTTGTCTCAAGCAAAATGTATGTGGATAATCTGTTACCGATTATCAAATATAGAAATTATAATCTGTTAGATTTGTTTTAAATGTCTTTGAATATTTCCTCATTGATAAAGGTTTGACAGATGAAAACAAATGTTTTTGCTTTCTGTAAAGTTTGCATTAAGGAAAATAATCAATCAATAGTGGAGTGTATGTTAAGGACATCAAACCTGGGGGTTGTCTGTGACATCGATATAGATTTTACTGGAGGAGGCCAGTGGACAAGCTTCTGTCAGGGTCCGAGAGAACATCTTGAACAGAGACCACTCTGAAGGAGCAAACAGCTTGAATTAACTAACACCAGGAAGATGCAATAAGCTCTTTAGTCCTACTAATGTAGGAAACAGCTCTTTCTCCTCACCTCGTTTGCCCTGTCCAGACGTGTGCAGGTCAAAGACCACGTTCAGCGTCTGTCGGAGCTCCCAGGACGTGGGAGACACAGGTCTGATGTGCACTGCCTGGGAATGAAAACTGCTGTGGAAGAGTTTCTCTGACTTCAGCAGGACAGCGAGACCGGCCTGCAAACATGGCAACGTAATGAAAGAGAAGAAGAAACTGAGTTAGCTGCCGTGATATTCGAGCTCCTGTCTCATCTATAGATGCACACGCTGACCTATAGTTCTGCTATAGTTATAGTTCTATAGTTCTGCCCTCATATATACAGTGTGTGTGTGTATATATATATATATATATATATATATATATATATATGATACAAACTCACCTTGGATCCACATGGCAAGAGTTTCTTCCATGGTGTCAGATTCTCTGTGCAAACAATCTCTCGTGGGAGGGTGGCATAACGAAGGAAGCGATGGTCTGTCACTTCTAGCTCGACACAAAAACAAAACACTTAGTCTCTACTTAGACAGTAACTATAGCACCTGCATACTGCACTTTAAAACGGCTGATGACACCTATTAGCTCTTGGACAGGTTTATCACTAGGTAGAATTATTCCAAAGGGAGATTGAAAGAGTGTCACTGTACCGTTGACGATTCCCAGTGGTTTGAAGGAAGCACTGGGCTGGACAGTGTTGGTGGAGTCAATGAAGTTGAGTGAAGCACAGAAGATCCCTGACAAAACATTGGTCAGCTCCTTCCATGTGCCATCAACACTGAAAGGAGCAGAAAGAAAGAAAGTCAGTAATATGTCTGAAATGTGCAAATGTCATGTAATTTATAATGAAAACAGATTTAGAGCTTTGACAGCTTTTTCATGTCTGTCATTAAAACAAAGAGGCTCTTGAATGTTTTTAAACGGCCAGATGACACCTTCAAAATATTGTAAATGAAATTTCAAGTAACCATTTTATCCCAGTTTTATTCCTTTCACATATTCATCATAAATCGAAATCTAAATTTCAACTGCATCTTCCCTTTCGGTTCTTGTAGTTTATATTTTCAATGTTAACTTGTTTGTTTGATATTTTAATATATCTCTATCTTTTCTCAATTTCGCTCACTGCTGGAAAACCCTTCACATAAACAGAATAATTAACGGACGTTTTCCAGTACAAACAAAGTGTTGATTTCCACTCAACACATGCTGTGATGGGTTCTGAAGCTGATTATTATTTGCACAATCAAACTTCTTCTGAAGAAGTGCAAGTTGACAAAGGAGCTTGATTTACCAGCCAGAGACACAACTCTGTATCGTGTTTCTCTGTTCAAGGAATCCATCCTTGGATCCTCATTGTTCTTCACTTGTTTACCAGTTAACAGCCTAAATGTTTGCTACCAGAAGTATCGATACTAGCGGACGTAGTTCTTCCCCTTGGGCGAGAGCTTGTGTGTGGTGTGTGTGTGTGATCGCGACTCCAGGGGAGGATATCAGAGGACATTTAGGCTGAGAACACGGTGTAAATGACGCTGTTTCTAGTCGAATTTGAAGTGCTCACCATTTACTTCAGTTGTATTGGATTCAGCTGCAACACTGTTTACCCCTGAGACTCCAAAAGTGTTTTGTGGACTCCAACACTTCACCCACCCCCCATCCGCATAGTGGTGAGCAGATAATAAGTGAATATTCATTTGTCTGTAAACTATCCCTTCAAGTCTAACAACAAAACATTTCCCCAGCAGAACTCACTCTGTAACAGAGTCCTGGAACCACACCCAGAGTTCGGCCCCGGGAGGAGATGGCAGAAATGGCTGCCCCCACTGCATGGTCCTCCAGTAGCCCTGTGTGAATGAGATGTGCAGCTCTCGCACTGAAAACTTGGAGATGACCTGGCCCAGAGACTTGGGGAACAACCGGTAGTGGGACACTGAGGAATATAAATAACATTACACAGTTTATGGTTAGATAAATAATTGTCCTGTGACATGTATATGAATAAACAATGGAAAATTCATGGAGTGTGTGCAATTTATGGGCAATGGATATACATGCTTTCAAAGTTTAACAGTGTTGGCTACAGCAGTAATACAAATCACCTTTACTAAAATATCAACGTCAATTTAAAACAATCAGCACAATTGTGATTCATTTCTGCAGGAACAGAAGTATGAGCTCTGTAATAAATAACAAGTAAAAATGCAACTTTTCAGACGTTGGAATGTCAGTAAGGAGAAAACAAAGCAGGTCTAATTCAAAACCTAAAAAAGAAAACTAGACAAAAGCATGTCGCATACGAGGAATCAATTTAAATACTGCTTATTACGATTTAACCTTTCATGAACTGATTTTGTGTTTGTGAAGAGAGATTTAAACAATTCAATATTTAATGTTGTGATGTTTTTAGAACTTATAAGTTGAGTTCCCCTTTTT